TTAAGAACCCTCGACGAACGTGCGATTCGGGGAGACTTCGCAGGGATTTTTATCGACACGTTTAACGTTCATCACCATGCAGCGCGACTAGCTCATCAGAACGTTAAACCTGACAGAAACAACTTACGCGAGGTATTTGTCTCTAGGGGAAATGCAGAAGATGTGTTTATAAACACAGATCTTGGAATGTCTTAAGTTGTGGTTAGTGTCACAAATATCAGCGAATATAAAACATCCTGTTACAGAGACAGACACAGGGTGTAAAGTTGTGAGATAAAATGGCCGCAATGGACTCAAAGGACATGGATTATTTGAACTTGCCTTTTTAATTACTCAACGATTCACACGTACGAGGATCTTATTTTAATTATTTTAAAGAAGGTTGATAGTTTTCGAGCTTTAGTAAGTCTAGAATCCCTAAAAATACGCGTAATTCATAGAAGAGTCCATTCCGTCCTATTTATCAGATTTGGCGACATTTGTGTTTGCAGTTTATCGTTACATGACGATATACGCAAACAAATCCATAAAATAAACATTTTCTGGCGATAAAGACTTGTTAATTGCCGCCGTTGTTATGTAAATCGCGCAGATTTATTGGACATATTGGCGCGGAATTATTTTCGGAATCCATAAATGTTCAGCAGCGGGGAATTTAAGGTCGATAAAGAACGCAAAAAAATGGTCAAAATTCCTGGAAAACGCGAAACGAGAAAGTTCGGCGAATGAATGATCTTTGTACGAGCGCAGTATCGATTCAGAATCGAATTATCGTCCATATTTAGCCAACAGATTTGCTAGATTATACGACGTTTCCACAGTCGCGCAGACTGTCAGTCCGATGTGATTGATAAAAAGTGATTGATGGCTTTTGATAACGAATCTAAATTCGCGGCTCTTATCAAAATATGTGCCTATGTTGGATGAGTTTCTAGCGAAAATTTCCTGCTAAACCAATTTGTAATATTTTGTAGTTATGAGTGAATGTGTCACCATATTTAGGTAAATTTATTCTTAACCATAGACATAGGCCCAGACCAACAGCGGGTATGGGTTATTTACTTGCTTTGCTTGCTTCTTTAGCTTTTATTGCTGAAGATGTCCAAATTGTTTTTCTGAATTACAGAAGTGATACATTTTCATCATTGGAGTGGAAGTTCAGATTTACATTTACGTTATTGTCTGTCGCCGCCTTGCTGTCTTTCCGCTGCGACTAATTGATCTCTCTTCTCCCATCAAGTTCAGCCCTCGTATGAAGTCCTTTAGGATGTCAGCCCATAGTGCATATGTTTGAGGTGTCGGTTGTAAATCCTTATCATAGAAATAGCTCTGCTGTCTTCCGTGATAGAAGGTTTGCTCTTTCGTTTCCCTCCAGGCTACAGTGTCCAGATATACATATCAGGGTTGCCTTTATTTCAGCTGCCTAATATGGATAGAGTCCCTTGCCAGCCTCTTACGGTTTAAGTAACTAGTTAAAGATTATAAGTAAACAATTGTGAACTTTGCGCGAAATAGGGCAAATGGAAGATGATTTTTTAGGTTTCGTTGTGAATTTACACATTTCGGGTGCTCTTTCCGCGTCAGTAGATCGAAATCCTTTATTTACATAATGGAACGGTTTTTCTTGGGAGATTATCCTAAACGGGACAACATCTAAAACAATCAAACCACGCTACCTGTTACGCCCAGGGCAAAGCCGTGGTAAGACCCAAAGCGTGGCAGCGACTTTCGCGAGTCATTTAAAAAGCTAACAAGGGTCGCCAGCAGCAGGTAGAAGAACCGCCGAGAGAGATGGGAGCGAAGAATGCCGAACGTCTTCGTCGACGATCGCACCGCTATGCCTGGTACGTGTCAAAAACATTTGAAACGCGATGTCTGCCCTGATTGATACGTTAAACCGATCGGGCGAAAATAAGATAAGTCGATTCTCCAGATACTCTCGGGGTGGTCCAAATCTCGATTTACGCACTGGACGTTTCCTTAAATTCTATCTATATCGACCTTCATATCAGCATAATAAACATTTTGTTTATGTTTGTAGTTAGTAATCCCCTCTATAAAGGATTCAACATCTTTTGGGAAAAAAACAAAAGAAGGGACAGGAGACAAACATCTTCATTCCCCAATCCTGCTTTTTTTCAAAATTAGGCTGAAGCCGATTGCCTTAAATCTCGCAAGAAAAGGTTATATATAACCTCCAATCGATCGGCAATCCCGTTTCTTTCACGAATATCCCACGAGGAATTCAAACACGACAAACCGATCGTTCGAATATTAATAAAATTTATCGTCGTTTATCAAGCAGCAGGGAAAACGTCTGAGTCACCGGTGCGCCGCAGGGTTCCCATCTCGGTACCGGATCGGTTCAAGTTTGAAGGTTAACGATTTCTTGTAAAGATACAAGCCAAGCGAAAACTGTCGCCATGGATTTACTAAAGTTTTCAGTCATTCCTTTTAGCCCACAAAATAAACAATAAAAACCTATTTCTATAGCAAGAAAGAAGCAGTCGTGGCTCAGAAATTGTTCAGAATTGGGAAGCTTACGAACAATTCGTCGCGAACCTCCACTGAGGAGATGGTACTCTACGAAGAATAATAATTATCTATCTCGTAACTGCGGAAGTTCCGAATATTTATGGAGTTATAATTCATCCTTTAAATTACTAAGTTACCAAGCAGTTACAAGGGTATATTTAACGTAATAATAAGACATCTTTTATTTGATCCGTATGCACGGAATTACAATTTCGATGACGATAGACAATATTCGCAACAAAAGAGTGCTTCGGGGTACCAATTTGGGGCCGGCCTTTTCAGAAAAGGTGACAGATTCCGTTCCAGCTGCAATCGGTCTATCGAGGGTGGACGTCAAAGGGAGCCGCGATCTATTGACGCTCGAAAATTCAATAAAACGCGTATTCTTCGGACGAAAACCCCGAAAAACGGGTACCTGTCGCCTCCGTTTGGAGGTATAACCGAAAACGCTCCAATTTCCGTGGATTAAGTCGGCGTTCTGTTTAAACGGCGTTTTTGTTTGACGGCAAATAAGGCCGGGCGCGCTTTTCGGCCGTGTAAATAATTAAAACCGCGATACGAACGGTTTGTTGAAACGTCCAAAGAGGCGCTCGTTTAATATTTGATCGCACGGTGGTGTGTAAATATCATAAAACAAATTGTTAAAGGCGCGCTCGCATGCTGTTTGCCTTTTCTAACTACCTACGGTCATATTTACGTAACGTTCCCGGATCGAGAGGTGAAAATCGGAACGATATCCGCGGCAACTGGTGTACTTTTAGTATCGCGTCGGTGTTTGTAGATAATTAACGTTTTACCATGAAGCAATCCAACAAATGAAGAACGGGAAAGCACTAGGCTAGATGAAGTACCGCCAGGGCGGCTTAAGCTGCTTGAGAAGGACCAAATCGAAGCATTTACAAGAACTTTCAACTCCATTTATTCAACAGGAGTTATACCGGCGCAGTGGCTAAAATCTGAATTTATAACTCTCCCAGAGAAGCCCGACGGGAAAATCTGTGACGACTACCGGACTATTACCCCGATGAAGCTATTTCTAAACAAGAATCCAAAGAGTCTCACAACATATTTACCTGGGAACTATAATTAATGAATCAAGAGATCCGGTGCAGAATTAGAAAGTCTAAAAGTGCTTTCGTAGCTATGGGTCAAGTATTCAAAAGCCACAGCCTCCCACTGAAAAACAAAAGAAAATAAAAGACTCTTGAAGTTTTATGTGTACTCGGTTCCTCTGTACGGTATGGAGACATGGACCTTAAAAGAGAAAACCATGTAAAAATTCCAAGCCTTTGAATGCTGGCAGTACAGGAGAATCTTGAAGATACCATGGACTCAGAAGATTACTTAGGACAAATTGTTATGGAGAATAAAATAATCCATGGAAATAGTCAACATCGTCAAATGCCGCAAATTTCAATACATGGTTCACATAATGAGTAACCCAGGATGATGACATGAATTACTCCAGTGTATCACTCAGGGAAAAATCTCAGGAGGAAGAGCACCAGGACGCAGGAGACTCTCTCTTGCCTGGGCAATGTTCGAGCATGGTTTGGCAAGTCTGTTCCGGATGCCAACCAACAAAATTATCATGACCAAAATGATCACCAACGTTCGTAGCGGACAGGCACCTTAAGAAAATGAAGCAAAATCGCTATTCATCGAAAGACCAATCCATCAGCATTTTTTTTCAAGTGTGTTGGATAAGACCTTTTTCACACATGTTGTAGCAAGTTTTCTTTCATATGATTTGGAATATTCAACAAGAAAAATTGAGACCAGTGCTGTAATGTTAAGAAACCAAATAGACATCTTAGGTATAATCCTTCAAATATACATCAATTTAAATTCTTGTCGTCAACGATTATTGACAAAAATATGTCTTACACGGACGATGAGCGATTTAAAACTACAGGGTATTGAAAGTAATCTTTCTCTTGTCATTTTTTCTTTTCTTTCTTTTCATATAGATCATACATCAAAAGTTTGCCAATTTTTAAGGTGTTTACCGGAATAATTTTGCTTTTATTTTTTATAAGAGTGCAAATAAAACTATAAAGAATATTTTTGAACTATCAAACTACAAAAGCGGAATAAAGCTGTCTGAGAAATGTCGTTATTTTTAGCAAATGTATAATGAATTATTGTTTCAGAAGACTGCTCAAAAATATATGCCACATCAACAAAAACGAGTACTGTTGGTTCTCGCAAACCAAGTTCATAGCAGCTGAATGCTTGGATACTACCTATTATTAGAACGTTTAGTTTCGACTTGTCAAGTAATATGTTGAATAGGAATGTTGCGAATATGACGACAATCGAACTCAAGTTTCTTCGTGTCCTTCAACCGAACGGGTTTGGCATTTGACGTGCGAAAGCCCGATCCACAACATCAACACCGTTCCGTTTATAACACGCGAATCCATGAATCAGACTAGACACAGGTATTCGTATACTATTCTTACCTTTGAAACGTTCAAAAATAAAACAGGCCCGAGTTAATCCACGTTATATTTGGCACAAAAAACACTCCCCGGTCATAATTCATTCATTCTCCACTACGATTAATTAAACTGCGCAAATATTTATGCTTCGCGCCAGCGTTGAGGCTGATTGAAATATTCGGAATCGTTATTCAAAAATGGATTCCCGGCGACCGTTTGCCACGCACTTCTCGTCGTCGCCGCTGCCAAACCTGAACTGCGGGCGAGAGCGTGGCTAACTTGTTTTCATAGTGCACTGGTTCTGATCGGCGGAGGCGATTAGAGCCGACGCGAGACCCGAACGCGACCGAGTTCGGCTCGAAGCATCATGATGGTAAGACGGAAGCGCGGGGTGACGGCGGATTCCAATTTTAGGTAACAGGGGGCGATTTTCTTCGGCACAGGTGGACGGGGTTGCGCACACGCGGTATTACGGACCGCAGTAAAAAACCAATCTTTTTGCGTTTCTACGCGTTTTAACGGCGCGAAAATGGGAAAAACCTGTCTGGATGGCCCGAACAAGGGGGATAACGTGGAAACAGTATTCTTTCTTTTAGGTGCTTCTGTTACTTTTAAACGGAGAACCGTTGGAGAGACTGACAAAGTTTAAATATCTCGGCTGCTGGATTGATCAAGATATAAATCCATCACATGAAATAAGATGCTGCATAGAAGAAGCCATGCGTTTCAGAAGTTCAGGTACGTTACTTTCAAATAATATCAAAACAAAAGAAAAGTTTGTAAAATGTTGCATATGGTCGATTCTTATATATGGATGCAAAACATGGACGCTTAATAAAGAAATGCTCAATAAGATCGAAGAATTTGAGAATGCTTAAAATATCCTGAACCTCAAGAACCAGAAGTTCTTCGAAGAATGGGACACGACAGACTACTTCTGAATATCTACGGAAACTTGAATACCTAAGCCATAGAATTAGATAAACTCGATATGACTTTCTTCGACTTATCCTCAACGGAAAAATAAAAGTAAAAAAGTGGATTGGGTGTAAGAGGCTTTCGTGGCTAAGAAACCTGAGACAATGGACAGGTCTTAACGCAGATGAGTGACTCCATGTATGGCATTAGTTTTGTTTTCGTTAATAGGGAAGAAATTAAATAACATCTGCAACCCTAAACAGTTTTGGTATCATTTGGGCCTTTATTGAGTTCTAAATCAAATTTACACATCACCGGAACCAATCTTTGCGATCAGGCAATCCGACGAAATTGCAAAATATACTTTAAGTGATGGCAGAGGTTTTTTTTTACAAAAAAAAACCAAAAGCAAAACGTAAAAATATGAAGAATGAAAAAATTATGCTACACTTTTTTTTACCCCACAGAAGAAAAAAAAAACATTTTTCTTTCGAAACAGTGCCCAAATACACAGGGTGATATTGTCGACAGAGAGCAACAGTAAGACAAGTTCAAAAGTGAAGTTCTGCGAAAATCAGGTTTAAATATTATTTTGCAATTCAACTATAACTAAATTTTGTATTAAGAGAAAATAAACATGTTTTGCACTTGAGTTAAAAACTCTATTGGACCATTCTTGGAGTTTCCACCGTTGTATTAGGTTGTCAACCAGATTTAATTGTATTAATTTAATATTTTGTTATATTATCCAGAAAATATTTACATGTTTGAAGGTCATACTATCAAATACAATATATCATCAATACAATGATGGAGGCTGACCAACCTTACACGATTGCCAGGTACACGTCCAGGTTTTTCCGACAAAATGTTGGAAAATCTACTCGTCCTGGATGGTCCCAGATTTTTCAATATAGTTATATTTTATCTCCCAGACAATGTATAAACATTGCTAATGATATCAATGTTTCTGTTCGATGGCCCGAAGTTTTTGATAATTGTACAAACTGGGGGGCAACTGGGGTTTAAAAACATATCTTTGATAGTTGAGTTTGCACTATGTCTACCCGCTACTAATACAGAGAAAGAAAGAGTTTTTTGAAGTTACAAACTTTTGGAGTAGCGAAAAAAGTCAACTTAATGTGAGCACTTTGAAATTAGCCATGATTACAAGGTACAATGGTAATTAAAGTTGTTTGAAGTTTTACATACTCTTTTTACAAAAATGATTTTGCTCCAAAACCAACAGGTGGTCGAAATAAATATTCTCTTAAAGCAATAGGTGGTTTTAAAAATCATTAGGCATTAAAGTTTGGTTCGTATACATTTTCAATATCTATAAGATAATAGTATATTATGCAAGAAGTGCGGTAAACGGCATCTGACTCACGAGTTCGTTTAACACGAGCGAAGCGTAAAGGAGCGAGTGCTTAATAAACGAGTGACTTAAAAAGTTTAGCGAACGTGTTGCATATTATAATTTTTCTACGACCGTTAGTTTTTGGGTAAATTTTCGTAAAACAAACCAAATACATTCACTAACATGAACTTTCGGAGATTTTACCGCACGGTTTGAATTTTTGACTTTCGTCAATTCTGACGATTATGTCAGTGAATGATCTTAACGCACGGTTTGAATTTTGACGTTTGTCAGTTCTGACGGTCATGTCACTGAATGTATTCGTGTTTTTGTGCAAAAATGTATCCTAAAACTAATAGACAGAAAAATGTTATGCAATATATCAGACAATTTAAATACTACGTGCTATAAGCTACAATTAAAATACAGTGGACTAGTCGGTAAGTAAAGTGACATTTATAATTTAAATTTGCCACAGAAATTGTATATATGGTTCGCATGAACTTTAGTTTTTACAGTTTTTATATTAATATCTTGCCAAGACCATTTGTCCATATTCAAATGTGCATGTCCGGAATTTTACCGCACGGATTTGGGAGCAATCGGATGTTTCCGGTGATATTACGCACGCTTTGAATTTTGATGTTTGCTAATTCTGACGGTCATGTCAGTGAATGTATTCGTGTTGTTTTGCGAAAATTTACCCAACAACAAACGGTCGTAGAAAAAGTATAGTATACAATACCATCAGTAAACTTTTTAAGAAACTAGTTTATTAAACACTCGCTCCGCTGGGCTGCGCTCATGTCAATGAGTCAAATGCCGTGTACCGCACTTGTTGCATAATATACTGTTTTATACACATACATAGTACGTTTTTTTTTCAATATTTAAAAAAATTGAAAAAAATGTTTATTTTGTTTTTATTTTACATGAGCTATCAGAGGGGTTGGGTAGCCCCGGATTCATTTTCTCGAAGTTGATCACCTTGTGTTAGAGTACTACGACAATAATACGGAGTATTTTGAGTCGAATAGATAATTTAATCCTTTTGGGCATGAGATTCTCATTACACAAGCTAACCAGGCCTTCTCTTTTATTATTTGGTACACCCGGTGGCTTATTGTGATATTTCGTCCATTCGTTATTTCGTTTTGTTTGTGGAGTTTGTTTGTTGTAGCTTTATCATGACAACTACCGCGAAAAAGTGCTGCTTCCTCCATTTTGAAAAGAGAAACAAATAATATGAAAAATTTTTGAACCCTTCTGTTCCATTTAATAATATTGTTAATTTCGAATTCAAGGAACACATAAATATAATGTATATATAATTGCAAAAATACAAATCTCAATTTTACACTAGTTTAGTTTCATCATTTTCTTTCTTCTTATGAGATATATGACGTAAAGGAATTTTGTTAATTTAAATTTCATTTTCCAATAACGTATTGCCAGTAAACTATGTTATTACAAGATGTACAAAAAAACAAGACATTTATCACTGCTAGGAAACCGAAGCAACTGCTTATTTCTCACTTTTCAACTTGCAAAGTCAGTTGGATAGATCGAAAAATGGTCGGTCACACAAATCTACGTCTCTGATTTTTTTCTGCCACCAATATTATCTTTCGATTTGAAAATTTGAAATAAACAATATCGTTCGCCTTTTTACTTAAATATTCAAAAGTGGACACACAATTCAAAAATTTATTTACTTCCATGTTGTACTGAAAATTTGAGCCGATGCGTAGACATCCAAATAAATGAAAATCTGCAACCTAGAAAATATATACGCGCAACATAGTGGTACTTTATCAAGATGATGAACGAGTTGAGTGGCAAAAACGTCTACTTCTATTAAGCATTAATGGTTTCAATATTGTTCGATTCCGCTTGCGGGAAAAGAAAAAGTTAGCCGTTAGCGTAGAATTTAAATCGCCTCGCATTAATGCAGGCTCTTTTAAGGCATGACTTTTCGATTGGTTTATTACTGTCGTTGTCCACCTACAGATTTGCACGTTTCCACGATTTACGATGGGCATATAAATTCATCGTTATAGGGGGCACAATAATCCCCAAATTGGCCCCGTCGCGTTGACTGATTTATGGCACTCTTGACTGTTCCAGGAAAGTTCGGTCGTACTTAGATAAAGTTTGGTTCAAGCTTGTACAGTATGCATCTTCAAAACGCAATTAATGCGTAAAAATATTATCAGATGTATATGAAAAACATTTTTGCTAGTGGTAATGGTTAAAATTTGAAGCTGTTACTATTTTTTCAACAGTACCGGACAAAACTGAGGTGCAAATTTAAAATAAAGCTAATCAAAATTAAACTTGTTAATGCATGCATTATTATTTTGGTTTTTGTTTGTTGTGCTTATTTCATCGTTTGTCAGTCTTATTTCTATAGAAAACCAATCACAACTAAAATGCCATAATTGCTATCAATAGTTTGAAATTCATAGTCGGTACTTGTGGCTGTCTTTCGGTCAAGGAAGACTTTAGAATGTGACATCGTTAATAATGTGGCAATTGATCATGTCCATTTAAATGTTTTTAATGCATTTCCAAGGAGAAATGACGTTTTTAATAACAATAAATTATTGGAGATCTATGGTATAATCCAAAATGTATACGGTATATTTAGAACCAAACTATACTCGCATTCGAACATGACAAACGATCATGCAACGTTTCTGGCATATCGGCGTGTTTGTGTTAAATCGAATTTTACTATATTACAATAATTATTATCGCTAATCGTTTCCCAAGAATTGCTCCGTCGTATCAGCAAGATGTTTGGCAAGCGAGACTTTTTTCAAAGAAGAGTCACGAACCGGAATAAGGCAAACAAAATGGATTTCTCGTGTCCATATTTGATTAGGTTGCGGATTTTATAAAAGTCAATTATAAGTTCAAAGCCGGTTAACAACAGGAAATGTCAAAGGTCCAAAATTATTTGGGGTAATCAAATGGCGGGGGATTTTTTTGATATACGGAACATCCTGCGTTAACAA